AAATAAGAATAAAAAAATTTAAAATATAATAAACACGATTATTTATAGTTAATACGAAATATATTATAACAATCACATACCTGCATTAATCTAGTTTTATTTAAAGAAAACAATATATAAAAACAAGTGCATAGTTTAGTAATCTGGAAGATCGCTTCCAGATTCTCCAATATTCTCAAAATAATTTTCAAACAAACTAGATAAACTTTCAGATCATTTATCGTGTTGTTGAGCTCTCATTCATAAAATTCTTGTTTGTTCATTTTGAAAGAACAAACGTAGATTTGAATCGGTTATCGAATTCAAATATTTCACCAAAATTTTGTTCTCATGATATTCTATCATTGTCAATTTCTTTTTTTGAATTTCGTAATTCTGATGTCTTTCCTCACTACTTTTTTTTTTCAAAATTTCGACGAGTTGTCGATTCTCTTCTTTAATAGATGTAAGTACTTTTATACCTTCTTCATTTTTCACCTCTATAAGTCGTTGTATTGAAGTATCGTCAACATTGTTTTCGTTTATATTAAGAGAAAACGAAGACAATTCAGGGGATGTTGATGAAGCTGGCTATGACGATGCAATGTTAACACCACTTTTTCCTTGATAGAGGCCAAACATGCTCAAATTTGAATCATTTCATTCTGGTCTTTAGATAATAGTATTTTAGCTTGAAACATCTAAAAACCAAAGACAATATAGCATTAACTTAACAGAAATTTAACATTTGGAAGTATACACTACGAGTAATACTCACGATATCTTCATCTGATGCACCACTTGGATTCAAAAGTTCCACTTGCCGAACATATCCTTGCATTTTGCTGGCGGCATTAATAACTTGCATTCGCTTCATTAGAGATCTTTTTGGCCAATTAAGAGTGATAAATGAAGGCAGTGTGGTGCTGTACTCATTCTCCACTCGAGAATAGAATAGGTCCCTTGATTGGTTTATACCTACCATTAGATCTTGTGAGATATCAAGATAGACTTGAAATAGGTGTACATATTCTTTGTGTGAGCATGAAGAATTTCGTGGAACATAACTTATTATCGAAGAGGATTATTAAAAATGATAGTGATATTAACTTGGGAAGCTTGAGAAATTGAAGGTAAGATCTTGTGAAAAATGGTAAGCTATTTTAAAGACAAAAGGATATGCAGGATAAAATTTGATTATATATAGATTAAAAGGTTGAGATCTTAACGTAATCCAGTCTAACGGTGAAGATGAATTTGCCGAGATATCCTATCTTCAAGTGGACAAGGATAAGATTTGATTATATATAAATTGAACGGTTGAGATCTTAAGGTAATCCAATTTGACGGTGAAGATGAATTTGCCTAGATATCCTATCTTCAAGTGAACCACGATAAGTTTTGATTATATATAGATTGAACGGTTGATATCTTGGCGTAATCCAATCTAACGGTGGAGATGAATTTGCCTAGATATCCTATCTTCAAGTGGACAAGGATTTCAATAAAAGGTAGTATTGAGGTCGAGCAATCCTCATTCCTCAAACATACCACTCAAAAATGAATTTCAATACTAGAGGTCCCTCTTATGTGTCTGATTCGAGTTCATTGTCATTGTCTGATGGAGAAAATGATAATGATTTTCTTGATGAACAACAACAAGCTTTACTCGCATATATTCGAATAGAAACCTCCGCATAGCTCAGTACGCTAATCAACATGAACCAACGGGCACATGGAGACACCATTCATGGTCGTACAACCATCAACCGTGATAGACAAATAGCAGATCTAAATCTCTTCATTGACAAATAACATATGCAAATACTGCCTTTAACTGGAATCCCCGTTCACTTAAAGATAGGATATCTATAGGGTGTTTGAGCCACATTATTTTGGAAGAATGTGTTTTGGAATAGTAGATTGATGGAGAATATGTGATTGAAAAAAAGGAAAAGTTATTGATATGATAGAAAACATTATTTTATTGAAAAATATGTGGTTGAAAATGAGTAGAAAAATGAGAATGAAAAAAATAATGTGGCTCAAACAAGGGCCTAGGCAAATTCATCTCAATCGATAGATTGGATTACGCCATATCTCAACTGTTCAATTTATATATAATAAAATCTTATCCTGGTCCACTTGAAGATAGGATATTTAGGCAAATTCTTTCCACCATCAGATTAGATTAAGTCAAGATCTCAACCATTCAATCTATATACAATCAAAATTTTATCATTATCTACTTGAAGATAGGATATGTAGGCAAATTCATCTCCACCGTTAGATTGGATTACGTCAAGATCTCAACCGTTTAATCTATATATAATCAAATCATATCTTGCATATCCTTTTGTCTATAAAATAGCTTACCATCTTTCATAAAATCTTACCTTCAAATTCTAAAGCTTCCTAAGTTAATATCAGATATCAGCTACCATTTTCAATAATCCTCCTCGACAATGAGTTCTGTTCCACGAAGTTCTTCGTGCTCACACGAAGAAGATGTACACCTATGTTAAGTCTATATTTATATCTCCCAAGATCTGTATAAACAAATTCTGGTCTCGAGTGGAAAATGAGTACAACACAATACTGGCTTCATTTATCACTCTTACTCAGCAAAAAAGCTCTCTAATAAAGCAAATGCAAGTTATTAATGTCACCTTTAGCAAAATGCAAGGATGTGTTCGGCAAGTGGAACTTTTGATTCCAAGTAGTGCATTAGATGAATATATCATGAGTATTACTCGTAATGTATGTTTCCAAATGTTAAGTTTATGTTAAGTTAATGCTACACTGTCTTTGTTTTGTAGATGTTTTGAGCCAAAATGTTATTATCTGAATACCAGAATTACAAGAAAGAGTTCAAATTTGAGCACGTTTGACATATGCTTAAAGATGTCAAAATTTGGAGATGACGTTAATACAGCCAAAGCAACCTATTACGGGAAAAGCGGTGTTAACAATGCATCGTCACAACCAGCTTCATCATCGAAGGACAGCACCTCAACGCATTCAACATCCACTGGATTGTCTTTATTTTCTTTTAATATAAACGAAGACAATGTTGACGATACTTCTACTCAACGACCTATAGAGATAAAAAAAAAGGAAAACTAAAAAGGAAAAACAAAGAAGAATGTATAAAATTACTTGCATCCATTAAAGAAGAGAATCGACAATTCGTCGAAATTTTGAAAAAAAAAAGTAGTCAGTAAAGACATCAGAATTACGAAATTCAAAAAAGGAAATTGACAATGACAGAATATCCTGGGAATAACAAAATTTTGTTGAAAAATTTGAATTCAATAACAGATCCAAACATACGTTTCTTTTTGCAAAACGAACAAACAAGAATTTTACGAAAGAGAGCTCAACAACAAGATAAAGGATCTGAAAGTTCATCCAGTTTGTTTGAAAATTATTTTGAGGATATTGGAGGATCTGGAAGCGATCTTCCAGATTACTAAACTATGTACTTGTTTTTATGTATCTTTTCTTTAAATAAAACTAGATTAATGTAGGTATGTGATTGTTGTAGTATATTTCGTGTTAACAATAAATAATCGTTAAATATTTTTATTCTTATTTTAATTAATTCAATAATTATTATTTTTAATATTT